TATAAAAGTTCAATAAAATAAGCAAGTTTCGATATGATTAATACGTATCGATATTGGCCTAAAAGCAAACTGTAAAGAAAAAAAGAGAGAGAAATGAAAATTAATATCACAATACTATGTACCGTATGATAAATCTTCTCTGCTATGCTAATCATTTCTGCTAGCAATTCAGATATTAGAAATGAACTATACGTAGTACTACTATTATGGTTTGTATTGTTAGGCTATGTAAGACTAACATAGTAGTTCAAAACCCTGAAGAATATGATCTAAAATATAAAAAAAGTCTCAGTAGCTCCACTTAATAAAATGAAGTAGAACAAAGACTCTCATCAAATAATAAAGTAGAGTAGTAATAAGATATATCTTTTATTAATTTTCAACTATTACTGACAATTGAGTTTCTTCTAACCAGGGCACTAGAGATAGATAAAATTTTTATGTATCCTTAAATATTCTTATATATTCTTTCATATTTTTACATATTCTTAAATTTTATTATAATAAATAATTCAATTTAAATACAAATATTATTATCGTATATCAAATAGAAAAGTTTCAATTTTAATATATAAGTTTATATACTTTTTTATAGACATTCATTGCTATGTTATAAATTATTGTTACTGCAAATGCAGATGCCTTTTAAATTTAATATATATTTTTTAAAAATACTCATTATGTTTTAAATTACTATTTAATATCATTACTATATTATAGAATACGATATAGATTATTTATAGAGTAAATGAATTCCTTAAATTTTTTTGCATCTATAAGAGAAAGAGATGCACTACCTTTGACTATACCTTCTAATAATAGTTGGTTAGATTTGTTTGTATTATATGGTAATTGTTGATTGTTATTGTCACAATTTGAAGCTGATATAGAAGGCATAATTGATATTTCAGATTGATTATCTTTTTCCTCCATATCATGAAAATGTTTTTGTTGTTGATAATTTTAAGCATTAATAAGATAGTTTTGAACTTTTAAAGGAATATTGTGCGAGTGGCACATTATTTCAAAATATATAGTAAAAAACTATTTTTTGAATGCTTATCACTTTCCTAAAGACAAAACTTTTTGCTCTAAAATTTTTCAAAACTCACAAATTTTTTATTGCAAAGGCCAAAAAAATTTAAGAAATATTAAAATATAAGGCCTAACTAATGATATATCTGTTAATAAAATAATCAATACATAAAGAATACTAGTAATTTTATTTAAAAAGTAGTAAATTGTATTGATATCAGAGATTTTAAACTGGATTTTCTTATATTTAAAAAATCGATATAAATACTGTATAGTATGTATATTTTAAATATTTGAGTTTGAATAGTGACCAAATAAATTTTTGAACAAATCAAATAAATAAAATAAAGTTATGAGTTATTTCTTTTCAATAATAAAGTTTCATAAAATAAGCTCAAGCTTAGTGATTACATAATACATATGTACCTGACTTCAAATTGTGTTTTATATTTAAAATCAAACTTTAATGTAATAGTAAGAATATTTTAAATTCGAATATAACATTTTAAATATTCCAATATTGATAATGACTAAGTAAATTCTTCGAATAATTCAAATAAATAAAAAAAGCCTCAGATTATTTCTCTTTAAATCAAGTTTCAGTAATAAGCCCAAGCTCAGAGATGTTAGTGTATACATATCTAATTTGATGCCAATAAAACAAAAAAGCCTGACAATGTTCTTATATATCTACTTACAGGTATTAACTTGACATCTGCGTATATATAAGTATATATAAATATAATACAAGATAATGATAAGTAAATTCTTCGAATAATTCA